AAAAAAAAAAAAAAAAAGTAACAATATATTGCAAAACTCTTTTTTCTCCCTTCAATGTTCCTTGTTGCATTACAGTAATGATTGAAGCAGAGTCTCAGATAGTACAAAATATTTTTAAGGTTCTTCATCCGATCGGAGTAATAGACGAATTCGAAAATTCGAATTCAACTAATTAGTTTGATTTCTTTTTATTTGAGTTTGACCCGAACCAAACCATTTAATTCTCATATTGATTCTTTCAGATATTAAATTTACAAATTTGAAATCTGAACGAATGTGAATTAAATTAATTAATTTATATATATTATTTTTTATTTTTTATTTAGTTAACAATTAATATATATATATATATATATATTTAATAATTGTACTATATATACATACATATATATATATATATATATATTATTTTAAAAATATTTTTGTGTTATAATAGGTAGATTTTTTATTTCCTTTTTTCAAATATTTAAAAGAAACCCAAAAAAAACACAATATATAAAGTATCATTTTTATATAATATAGTGTATTTGAAATCTTTAAGTAGATTAAGAAAAAAAATATAAAAAAAATATATTACAAATCAATCAATTTAGTTAATTTTTGATAATATATTAATTTAATTAATGTCAAAAAATTTATTTATTTTAAAAAAAAAATTGCGATATTTTTTATTAAAAAAGTTATTATATTCGATAATTCAAAACAAACCAATTCAATTAACATTTGATTCTAAGTTAAAAAAAATATATATTATAAAATTTAAATCAATTTAAATTAATTAAATTTAATTGATTCAAATTAAATTTTCATCCAAAATACAAATCGAACTTTCCCTGAACATTGAAAAAAAACAATTAAAGAAAACTAGGAAAGCAAAGAAAGAAAATTAAAAGAATAAAAAAATGAGTTAATTATCTATATATTAATAATATAAAAAAAATTTATATTGATAATCAATTATATCTTTTAATTGTGTCATGTTACTATTAAAAATAAATGTGTTTATAATAACACGACATAATTAAAAAATATAATTAATTGTAAATATAAAAAAAATTTACATATATAAGTAATTAGTTCTAAAAAAATTTCGGGAAACTTTTAGTTAAAAGAACGTAACTTAATTAATTAATTATAAGTAACGCGTGAATGCATGGATGAGTTTCCATGTAGTGCGACTAGGGGTGGGTATGCGGACCGGTCCGGCCCGTTTAAGGCCCGGTCCGCGAAATCCGCATTTTTAACGGGCCGGATAAATCCGGTCCGCGAAATAAATGGACTTAAATTTTCAAGTCCGTATCCGGCCCGTGAAACCCGCGGATAAACGGATAAGTCCGCGGGCCCAATTAAATCTAAATTTTTTTAATGAATATTGACACATTTAATGAGATTTTGAATTTCTTTTTCTTTATTTAACCTATGAAAACATGAGGAAAAAAAATACATATAAAATGATATAAATATACTTCTAATAGTAACATCAAACATTATATAAATAATAAACCAAAGTCTTAAATAACAAAGTTTATACATTCTAAATTTCTAATAGAAATATTTAAGTCTCAATGCCTTTAAAATTTAAAGTCCAAGCATACCAACTATTAACCAAATATTAAAGCCTTACTACCTTAAAACTTTAAAAGTCTTAATACACAACCAAACAAATTTAAAGTTCCACATTTAAACGGGTAATCCGCGGGCTCGCGGATTAAATCCGCAAAATCCGCGGACTTAACGGGCCGGACCTAAAAAGTCCATATGATTATACGGATTAAAAAAATTGAGTCCGTTATCCGTGAAGTCCGCGGACTTACGGACCGGTCCGCGGACTCGAGTCCATATACCCACCCCTAAGTGCGACGTGTGACAAAATTGGTAAATGAGAAGATGATTCCGCCAAGTCACCCACTGTTGACTTTATTTTAAAGAAAAGAAGAGATGAGAAGATGGGTTGTGATTCCATTGGGCAATGGGCATGGAGCAGGTAGTCATAGTCTTTAATCCCTTTGAAGTTTGAAGAATGAAAGGAAAGTAATGAATGGAGGCATTCCCAAAATAGATCCCATGCTTGTTAGAAGCAATCAATCACCTTTGTCCCCTCACCTCTCACCTCTCACCTCTCACCAATCACCAATCATCAATATTCAAATTCAAACTCACTTTACCACTCTTTTAATAGAAGAAGGGAGAAGAGAGAGAGGGAGAGGGAAGTGGAGATGGCAGCGTTGCAGAAATTGAGGCTGTTGGCGACACCGTGTGGGGTTGGTCAGAGCCCAACCCAAAGCCCCAGGACGAGCCCATTGGTCCAATTCCGGCGCCCCAAAACCACCCTGCGTTCTCTCCTTACACTCAACCGATCACCTCGGCGACAAGAACACGTGGACGTGGTGGAGAAGGATTCCATGCGGAGACACTCACTCAAGGACCTGTTTGTGTCCTCGCCGCCTCCAGAGGACCACGTCAACGATCGTGAAACTGCTCCAATGTTGCCTTCCGTTGCCGCCTCCCATTCTTGGAGTAACCAACCCGGTTCAACCAACCCGCCTTGGACCGGTTTTCGTTGCAGGTCCTTGTTGAAAAGGAAGCATTGGCGCCCCCTCCTCCTCACTATTCCCGAATAATCTATTCACATCACTTCCACTCTCCATCTCCAACTTTCAATTGCTTCTATATTTAACTCTCCTTAAATATAATTGCATTTTTCTTTTCACCATTCTCACTCTCTCTTTCTATTATGGAATTTCCTCATATGACAAATCAATCAGATTCTCACGTTCCATCGTCTATCAATGTCTTACATTGAGATCATTGTTGATGAATTTAAATTGGGAAAAATCTTGTTTTGTTGAGAAGAAGCTGTTTTTTTTTAATTTATTATTATTATTCTTATTGTTCCTTTTGGAAAGAACAAAAAGGATAAAGAGAGGCGTGAGACATGTTATGAGTTGGGAGAGGAGAAGAATACTTTCTTAAAGCATGAAACAATCAATGTCCGTATAAGGCCAAAGGTAAAGAAAGGCATGCTTGTTGAATAAAAATATGAAACAAGTATCATGTGTTTCTTAGTTTTTACAGATGACATTGAACAACATAAAGCTATAAAGTAAAAACACCAAAGCAAAGGGCACGCGGCGAAAATCATCCAGAACCGTCCCTATTTGTCTCCTATTCCACTGTGATTATTATTTTCCAAACATATCTCAAAATTTTATATTAAATCATCATTTGCGTGATTATTAACTAAATTGTATTTTAATCATTTATACATGTATGTAAAGCTCAAACTTATATTTTCATTTTTTACAAAAAAAAAAAAGAGTTTTCACTTAATATCTGATGTTTATCAAATGACAGTTTTTTACACTGAAAAATGAGAACTACAAATATAAATTATAAATTAGTAAATCATATTTAAACGATTAATTAAAAGAAAAATGTATTCTGATATTTTAAGTGATCATGTGAATGCTACTAATATTGATTATCCATGTATAATTGAGTGATTCATATTTATAGTTCTTATTTCTTACTATAAGAAAAATAATTTCTCTATATAGCCCATATTACCTTTAATGTTGAGGTTCAAATAATCCATTAACAATACTCTTAGATTTAGTTTATATAAACTTATAGATCTTGTTTAAATAGTTTTTCTCATAAACACTTTAAGATAAGAACAAGATAAGAATATAAAAAAGGTAAAATGAAAAGTTGGTAATCAACTTATACTTGTCAAATTTTAATAAAGTTAGATGTGAGAATTTCTATAAAAATTAAAGTACATAATTTAAACTTTTAAAATAAATTTAATTTATATTACTTTTTTATTTTTTAAATTCTTATAAAAGAAAATTGTCCAAATAACTAGATGGTAACTAGTTAATGATTTTGGATAGGATATTGTTGATCAATTTTCATGCAGCAACTCTAATAGGAATAACTCAAATGATTTGTTTAGTACATCTACAAGTGTGATTAATGAACATATTAGTCGTGTTATCGTTAAACAACTTATACTCAATTTTCTATATTTATTTTTAATATATCTTTATATTCTCTATATTTATTTGTTTTAGAATAATATTTTTATATTTTAATCTTGAAAACGAATTTTAAGAAAATAAAATCTATTATTTCAATAGTTTTATGTATGGATTTTATATATAATTTATAAAAAAAAATTGTATATGATTTTTTAGTTTGTGGGTGCTGCAATATAATTTTAAATAAAAAATAATTATTTCAATAAAACATTGCCCTTCCCAAGCATATCTCTTGTTATTAATCTTTCAAGTTTTTTTTTTTGAGAAGATAGTCCAACATTATCATCTAATAACAATTTTCATGATAAATTTATTCATTTTATAAAAATCATACTATTCATGATTTTTAATTAGTTGATCGTGTAAATACATCGATAATACACAAAAGTTAAACATGTTTTATATATTTTATTCTGATGTTTTGTTTAACCAGTACTAATAATTTAAATTTGATTGGGCTAACGCTGTAGTAGTCATGAAGATCGGACTAGGAATGGATGTAACTGGACTACTCTCAAAAATAATTGGTTCATGATATATACACCTTCTTTTTCTATAAGTACACCTCCTTTTTTTAAAAAAATTAAAATTTTAAAATATTTTAAATTTTAAATTTTAAATTTTTTAATTTTACATCCATAACATTTAATTTAGTATTTTTTCACACATATTTCCTCCTTTTTTCAATTTTATATGCACCCCCTTATTACATTTCCTTCATCCACCTATTTTGGTAGTATGTGAAAACTAAAAGAGAAAAAAAAAAAGTGTGTGAAAAAGAAGAAGAAAGTAGCAAATTGAAAGTTGGAGGTGTAAAATTAGAAAATTTAGAAAGAGAAAAACTACAATATTTTATAATTTTTTATTTTTAAAAAAGGAGGTGTACTTATTAAAAAAAAAAAAAAAGAGGTGTATATATCATGAGTCTTTTGGAATTAGAAAATTTTTATTCCGGAAATAACTTTTTTAAAGTGAGTTTCTTACATAATTTTAGAAACTTTTTTCTGGAATATTAACGGTGTGTGTATTTGTTATAATAATTCCGGAAAGAACTTTTCACAATAGTAATTTTAGTGTTATGGAAAGTACTTTCCAGAATTATTCCGACGGAAAGTTATTTCTGGAATAGTAATTTTAGTATTATGGAAAGTACTTTTCGGAATTATTCCGCCGAAAAGTTCTTTCCAGAATAGTAATTTTAGTATTCCGAAAAATACTTTCCATAATTATGTACAACACACCTCCTCCGAAAAATATTTTTCAAAATATTTTTTTTATTCTAAATAATATTAAGGATAATTTAGAAATTTAATATTTTTTTTAAAAAAAGGGGGTGTATATATAAAAATATGGAGGTGTATATATCATCAGCCAAAATAATTTTAGAATTTGGGCCTCGTGGGTTTGAGCTGAATTAAATTTGGGCTCATGATATATGCACCTCCTTTTTTTATAAGTACATCTTTTTTATTTTTTTTAAATTATAAAATATTATATATTTTTTTAAAATATTCTAATTTTACACCTCCAATTTTTAATTTGTTACTTTCTTCTTTTTCACGTATTTTTTTTTTGTTTTCATATGCTACCAAAATAGGTAGATAAAGGAAAGGTAGGAGGTGTATATAAAAATTAAAAAAAAAAAAAAGAGGGAAGATGTATAAAAAGAAATACTAAATTAAATATTGTAGATATGTAATTAAAAATTAAAAATTAAAATAAAAAATTAAGAATATTTTAAAATTTTAATTTTTTTTTTTTTGAAAAGAAAGTGTACTTATAGAAAAAGGAAGTGTATATATCATAAACCTTAAATTTGTCCTGGGCTTCATTTGATCTGATTTTTAAGCATTGGACCGCAGTTATACAAAATTGGGTTCATTTTAACTAGTAGCTTAGATATTTGAGGCCTTTTTTTTCCCGCATCCGGCTTTCATCTTCCTACTCTCAATATTTTTAAGTTTATTTTTTTACAATATTAATAGATAAAACATACATGCAGTATTATCGGTGTGATTTTCTGATTAAAGTTTTATCTCGATAATATATATGTAATAAAAGATTTCATAAACATGTTATTGAGCTTAAAATTCAACTCTTTTGTCAATTTAAATTAAACTTAATTCTAACTCACAATTAGTTTGATTCGGTTTATAAGTTGAACTCTTATTAATCAAAAGTTAAATTTTTTTAACCTTATACAAATTATATATACGCAGACGTGTGTGTTGAGCCAATTCATGGCCTCATGTTTGGGTTCATTTATTAGTCAAACTTAATTTTTAAGTTAACTTATTTATTTTATAAACTAAATTTGATGTGATAATTATTGAATAAAGTTTTAAGTATTTTTGAGTTGATTGGGTTTGTTGGCATGCATTGCTTGTTTGTCTCTGGTACGTGGAGCACACTCACACTCACACTCACCTCTCAGTCAAGGCCCATAAAAGGCCCATCCTCCCAAACGCTTACCAATAAGATTTTGCTTTTGCTCAAAGCACGAGAATTCATATATGGACAAAAAACAATAACGAGCATTGATCTAAACCAGGCAGTAGCAATGATCCCAGACACCTATTAGGCCTGGGAATCCACACAAAGATCTCAGAGTGGTGAAAGATTGTCAAGTGTTAATAGTATATATACAACTTGGAGAATGTGTGCTTCCCATTTTGTCAATTATTGGAACATGCTCTTGTCACATTTTTAACTTTATTCCGCAGAAACATTTAGTGTGACATTTAAGATAAGTTCTGCACTTATCAATCACCATTATGTTCTGAATTGTCTAGTTGGTACAAATTAAAAAGACTCTTTCTGTTATATTCTCATGCCTTAAGTATGTTCTTCATTTTAACTGTTTATCGGCCAAATTAACATAACTTTGGGGGCTCATTATAAGCCGATTTAATGATATTGAGAAAACATAATTTGACTCCAATAATTTAAATGAGAAGAAAAATAAAAGCTTACTCAGAAAGCATTTCCATCGGCCAAGTGAAACAAACATGGAAGCACAATGGGGAGCATGTTTGAGATAAACAAATTACAATGTTAAATTTAACTGCTTAAATTCACACTATTGCATGATGCTACAACAGAAACCGATGAGTTTGCCAAGTTGGATATTTCTTGTGTTCAGGATAACCATACAATCTGAAAGTCACTTTCAAAAGGTTGCACTGAACTCCCGAATGCTACAGCTTTTTCTCCCGCAACTACAAATTATCCATTGGCCAATAAATGCATATTAAATGCTTGTTTCATTGTCATCCCCAACTGGTTGTATACCACAGTAGCCACATAAACAATGCCCCACTCTTTTGCTGATAGTTACACACAGATAAGAAAGAGTACTCCTAAGCATATCCTCAGCCACATTGATACACATAAATAATATTCTAGTCCCTAATTAGGAATTAAAAGTAAATGAGTTTAATTTAGAAACTGTAAATGAATAATTTTTTTTGGACTAAATATAGTTATGTCAACTAAGAAATATGTGAACCATTTTATACGTGTATATCATCATTACTGATCTGAAAACTACTGTAACAGTACACAAGAGAATGAGATCTGTCCTTTTGAAGCGTTTATGCTAGTGGATACTTATCTTGACTGCAGTGACAAGCATGATCATATTAATTTCATTTAAAAGATATGGCTACTCTGCCTATGCACAGAAAATTTGAAAAGTACTAATGACCTACTACTTAGGTTAATGGGTCACCCTTGTAAGTTGTAACCATAATAAGCTTTGGTTTACATAGAGAAAGATGAGACAAATTGAAAGAGAAATATTCGTATTTGAA